TTTAAGCAAAACAAAGATCGTTACTTTTAAATCTTAATCTTTGTCTTGTAAAAACGTTAAAGGTCTAGGTCTTGGACTTTAAGTAAATTTTAGATGCGTTAGTCTGAAAACTCATTTTGAATTCTCAAATCTTGGTCTTGGGATTAGTCTTGATTATGAGCTTGAACTTGTTGGACTTCCGTACTTTAATAACTTTTAGTAAGCGGTAGGAGTACTAAACCTAATGTCTATTTTTAAAGGTATTAAGAAAAATAGTATAGTTTAAAAAACATTTTACTTTAGAAAATTTTATACGCATTTCTAGTTGTCGAGCGCCGCTATTTTTCAGAGATTTGGACATTAGTACCCGAGGCGGGATTTTAAATAATATAATACCCGCTTAAAGTGTGTTGATTAACTTCAATTATAATATATATATATATATATATATATATATATATATATATATATATATATATATATATATATATATATATATATATATATATATATATATATATATATATATATATATATATATTAGGGTGGAGCTTATTTTTAAACTTTTGAAATATGATCTTCTTACCAACTCATTTTGTTCCTATATATGAAAAAATAATTCAGGCAAAATTTAAGAACAATTAAACAATATTTAGGGGTAGCTCAATAATCATAAAGTTTCGGATACTCGACAGCTGCGGTTTGGCTACACTTGATTTTTACATAATATTATTACTTATACCAGAATAATTCTCATGTTCATTTAAGAACTTAATTTTAACTACAAAGCTAAATTGCACTGTCCTAAATCATCATAACTTCCACAATTATGGTTTATACTATCATATTTGATCATTGACCAACCAATGCAATCATGGCAAATGGAAATAACCCAGATTTTTGCTGGCTGTGTAATTTTTACATAAATCAAAACATAATCCCAGACAGACAGGATCACTAGCTAGACAGACTTGTTTACTGCAATGCTGAGTTGCTGACTAAGCAACACTGTTAAATCTGTATGCTTTTTTTGTATTACCATCTCGACTATGAGACAATCATCGGCTGTTACCATCACGGAAATAACAAAGTTTTGGCAAAAAGCTAAATTCCCGATGAGAGATAATCAGAACTGTCAAACGAAGCTTGAACAGACATTTGCAGAATGGCATCATCTTAAGAAGCACAAAGCACGAAAACAACAACTCAACTTGGGAGAGAGTCGGCTTTTGTTTTAAGACTTGACGATCTCTTCAATCTCGCTCACGCCGATGCCCTGACCAATACATCAGTTTTACAAGAAGGCAAGGATTTCTTAGTACCCCAGCGAGAAAAGGAAAGAAGGGTGTCAATGGCTGGAGTAGATGAAACACTTGCTGCTAAGGAAAAAAGGGCTTCCAAAAGAAGGGAGCAAATGTTTGCCAGGCAACAGCGAATGGAGCAAATAAATCAGCTAGCCGTTTCTACAGCTGAACTAAAATCATCTAGTTCTGTATCTGAAAACAGTACAGCAGAGGATGTTGAAGAGAGTGAAACTAGTGACAATGCAGATGAGGGAGCTGTTGGATGCACCACTTTTCAGACACCTAAAAGAAAGAGGGGACGAAAAACTGTTGTTACTTCTGAACTCGCTGCAGCTCTAGATCGAACAAAAATGTCAGACCGCAAGGCTGTTTTTGTTATAGCAGAAACTGCCAAAAGCTTAGGACAGAATATCAATGAATTTGCTCTTAACAGAGACTCAATTCACCGACACAGATTGGAACACAGAGTCCAGAGATCTGCAAATATAAAAGCCGAGTTTCGGGATAACGTTCCTCTTGTTGTTCACTGGGACGGCAAACTGATTCCTGATCTACTTGGAAAAGAGAAAGTTTATGGCCTGCCCGTATTGGTTTCAAGAAAAAGAGTCTCTCAGCTACTCACAGTTGCCAAGCTTCCTTCTGGAACAGACAAGCACAGGCTGCTGCCGTCTTTGGAGCCATTGAAAACTGGGACATAGGCGACAGCATCCGTGCAATGTGCTTTGACACGACCAGCTCAAATACTGGTCGGCTTGCTGGTGCCTGTATCCTCCTAGAACAGAAACTTGACAAAGAGCTCTTATCACTGGCTTGTAGGCATCACATTATGGAACTGATAATTGTTGCAGTGTTCCAAGTGTGTATGAGAGCAACATCTTGTTTAGAAGTTTCAATTCCACTATTCAAACGTTTCCAGCAATAATGGGGTTTCATAGACACGGCTAGTTATGAACCAGGGATTGCAACTGATGATGTCGAACGTCTCGTGGCTGACATAAAGCAAGACACTATCGATTATGCCAACAAGCATCTTAAACAGAGTCAGTCGAGGGATGATTATAAAGAATTCTTGGAACTTGTGATTATATTTCTTGGTGCTGCTCCTGCCAGAGGTGTGCGATTCATGTCACCTGGAGCAATGCACCATGCCTGCTGGATGTCCAAAGTCATATACAGTCTCAAGATCTGGATGTTTAAGGCTCAATTTAAATTGACTCCTGCTAAAGTGAAAGAATTACGTGACGTGTGTGTATTCACAGTACGTGTCTACCTGAAAGCCTGAATATCTGCACCTCAAGAATCAGGTGCTCCTTATAAAGATCTGCTGCTGCTAAAGTCAACGATTGAATGTTCATCAATCCATTCAGCGATCTCGAAGTCAACATCGCGCAAGTTTTCCAATCACTTGTGGTATTTGTCACAGGAACTTGTTAGCTTGGCTTTTTTCGACAGTCAGGTCAGTTCATCAACCAAGAGACTGATGGTGAGTGCAATGCATAATAAAGAAGACCAAGATCAGGATCATTCAAAGCGTATCACTGTTGATTTTGATTCATTCGGGAACAAGAGCTTAAAAGATTTTGTCACAGCAAAGTCAATGAATCTGCTCCGAATGATGGAAATGTCATATGGATTTCTAACAGTTAATCCGGACTTGTGGGAAGACAGAGATGACTACAAGTTGGCTGCAGAAACAGTCGAGTCTTTAAAAGTTGTAAATGACCACGCTGAACATAGAGTGGCCCTTATTCAAGAATACAGTGGTTTTTGACACGCAAAGGAACGCAGCTGCAATTCCTGCTGCAAGAAGACCATCGCAGAATGTACTCTGATAGTAGGAAACAAACTCTGTCTAGGCTGCCAAAACCATGAATTTGAAACAAAAATTCCTGAGTTTAGTCTGGACATTGTCAGGCTGATAGCCTAAACTGTAAAAACTGAGTTTAGAACTCATATTTAATGCGTTTAAAAATGTTAATTGTGTTGTTTAAAATATATAGATTAGACTCGTTTCTTTTATACTTTTTTGTAACATTGGAGGCACTTGAGCTACCCCTAAAAACAATTATTTCTTAGCCAAACTTTTTATGCAGTGTTTTTATGTTATATGGAACAGATTTGGGGAGTAAGACTTTAAAAAATACAATTTTCATTTTATTTTATTTTATAAGCTCCACCCTAATAAATGTATATATATATATATATATATATATATATACATATATATATATATATATATATATATATATATATATATATATATATATATATATATATATATATATATATATATATATATATATATATATATATATATATATATATATATATATATATATATATATATATATATATATATATATATATATATATATATATAGATTATTATTAAATCGTATTTTCATAACAGACATTAAAACAATCAACAACTTTACATATATTAACCAAAAACAAATAAATAATAACATTAACCTTAACTACTAAACAATTTCCGTCCCATAACAATCTAAAATACTAATATACACCGTAAAATTTTTTTAAACACATTGTAGCAAAATTAACTTTTGACTACTTGCCTGATGATTGTGGTAACACATGAACTTTAAGTCGCAATATAATATTATAAATATTAGAATTTAGCTAATTCCTGATAATGCGGGTAACAGTAATATATATACTATATATATATATATATATATATATATATATATATATATATATATATATATATATATATATATATATATATATATATATATATATATATATATATATATATATATATATATATATATATATATATATCAAGGCCTTCTTAAACAGGCCGCGACAGCTCATTTCCCGTAAAATTAGCGAAGGCCGACTTTTTTACGGAGAAGTATAGTTTCAATGAGGATTTTGGTTGTTTGATTTAAACTATAATAGTTAAACTCGTAAAATGCCTAATAAATGCTGCGTTTATGGTTGCTCCTCAAATTACAAATCAAAAGTAAAAGATAATGTTTATGTCACAATGTATAGATTCCCCTTTAAATGCGAGGATCGCGAGTTATGGATTAAAAAACTTCTAAATGCAAACTTTGTGTTTACAGATTATAAGCGAATTTGTGCTCAGCACTGGCCTAAAGATGCAGAATTAAAAAAAGTCAAAGGTGGTAGTTTTGTTCCAGTGCATCCTCCATCAGTCTTTAAAGGTATACCAGTGTCTTGTATTCCAATAGTGTCTAGAAAACGAGATGTCACTGGGTTATTATGCTCTGAAAGAAATATTTTACCTGATGAGTTCGAAAACTTCAAAAAAATGGACGTTATTCAATTTAATTCAATTGTAAAAAATTTGAAGTCAATAATAAATAACTGTGAAGAAAAATTTTATTTTGTTGAAAAAGAAAAAAATATATCTTTAATATCATATGAACATTGTGTACCAGTACCTAAGTTTTTAATATATATAACTTTAGAAGATTCTGGAGATATTTATTTTACTGGATATAGCCAACTTTTACAAATTAAACTGTCTTTTTTAAACAAAGGAGTTATTAAATATTATTCTCAACTGGAGAATGCTGTTAGTTATGTTATTAATAATGAAACAGATTCTAAGCGAGCAAGTTATATTAGGCATCAAGTAGCTTTATTAAATAAAACAAACAATACACCATTTTCTTTAGAGGAGAAAATTTTGATCTCGTTGAGAAGCTTGTTTTGCCAAGTGTACGAGAGTTACAACGAATGACAAACAAAATAAATAAACTTGAAGATACTGAATATTTAAAGATGATATTAAAAGAACTTCAGGAATTTCAAAAATACTGCTTTATCTTGGCTGATGAGGTGTATATAAAACCTGGGCTACAATACTCTGGTGGTAAGTTATTTTTAACTAATCAACTGGAAAGCCAAGATTTTTGTTTTTAGTTTTTTTTTTAAACTATTGTTTGAAAAGCTTAAATAATTGTAGAACTCTCAATTAGTTAAAATAAATCATTGAAAAAAAAAATTTTTTAAGGTGTTAATTTTGTTTATTGATTATAGGTATTGTGTATGGTGAAGCAGAAAATATCCAAGAAAAAGCAAAAACAGTTTTAGCACTAATGCTTCTTTGTCTTTTTGGTGGCCCACGACTTGTTATAAAAGTTTTTCCAGTTTGTAAAGTTACAACAAATTTTCAAACAAGCGTGATAGAAGAATTAAATCAACAAATCATAATTGCAGGTGGAAAGCCTCTTGGGTTAATAATGGATAACTGTCGAGTAAACCAAAAAACATTTCAATATTTTAATGCAAAAAAAGTTCCAGCATACTATCTTTTAAATGACACTGTGCATATTTTTAAATGTATTCGAAATAATTGGATCACTGAAAAATTACAATGTTTAAAATATAGATTGCTAAATGATAACGATACTGTGCGACTTGCAGAATGGAAGTTTATAATTCAACTTCATGCTGCAGATAGTGGAATAGTTAAGTTGTCACCCTTAACACAAAAAGCTGTGTCACCAAAACCAATTGAACGACAAAATGTTGGATTAGTTCTTAAAGTTTTTTGTGATGAAACAGTTGCAGCATTACGTGTAAAATTTCCTGAAGCTGAAGATACTGCACTTTTTATTGAAACAGTTGTTAAGTGGTGGCTTATTGTCAACAGTAAAGCAAAAGGTCTAGATATTAGATTAAATGATATTCGAAGAAAGCCTATTACTTCAGTAAATGATTGGCAAATAGATTTCTTAGAAAACCATATTTCGTATTTTGCTGAAAATTTGAAATGCGTAAATTCAAAATTAAGAAGAAAAAGTTAACAATGGATACTGCAAGTGCTTTGCAAAAAACTTCTAAAAGATTAGCAAGCTGTGCCAAGTATTTGTTGAATTGCGGTGTAACCTATGTATTGTTAGGACATATGACATATGCAATCAGATGCACTAGAAAAACAGTTTGGGAAATATCGGCAAGGGTCAGGTGGCACATATCTGATAACTGTGCAAAATGTTATTCAAAAATTTAGAATCGACAAAACTAGAAAGTTGCTAGACAAGCATACAGATTTTACAATATTTCCTCCTGCTCACTACCACTGTGATAAGTGTGAACTTGATGTGGAGTTTAATATGTCAATATGTGAAAATTGTGAGGATCAGTTGCCAAATGAATGCAAACAAGGGCTTTTATATATTGCAGGTTTTATTGCTTACAAACTTCCAGAATTACATTCAATTTTAGAAGAAACAGACACCTTTGATATGTTTCAAAAATATGGAACTTTGATCAGTTCTTTGAACAGGGGAAGACTAAGAGAACCTTCTGACAATTTAGTCTACTTTGTTTTTTATTGTTTTTTTTATATTTGAAGTGACACTTGTGAATAAAGTTTCACCATTGCTGTGCAAGAAAGGATTAATTGACATTTTTATTAACTGCAATAGTAAATTTCAATTGCTTGTTCATAGTGTTAAAAAAGTTTGCTGCATTTTGGCAAACATTTTTTTAAACAATTATTGTAAAAAACACTCTGAAGATTTTGGGAAGGAATGTTTAATAAAACAAGCAAAACTTTCAACTTCAAAATAAAATACTTTGAGTCAAAAAAGTCAAAATAGTTTTAATAAAATAAAGTTAATATATTTGTTTGTTTTTATCAAAAAATTTATTATTTGTATTACAAGTGTTAAACAGCTAATATAAACATATAGTTATAAAAACAAGATTTAGTCATTTTTAGCTAAACTCCTTAAATTTTTATTGTAATTAACTTATTTCTAAACGTAAAAAAAAATTCCAACAATATTTGCTTTCGAAATTCAATCAAAATGTTTTGTCCTAAAAAAGCTCTTTATTTGTTTCTGAAGTTTGTTTACAAAAGCAAAGATAAAAAATAATTTTAACCGTAAAAAAGTCGGCCTTCGCTAATTTTACGGAAAATGAGCTGTCGCGGCCTGTTTATGTAGGCCTTGATATATATATATATATATATATATATATATATATATATATATATATATATATATATATTATATATATATATATATATATATATATATATATATATATATATATATATATATATATATATATATATATATATATATATATATATATATATATATATATATATATATATCGCGAGGTTAGAATTATATTGTTCTATCTCCACTTTTTGAAAAAAAAGGATTATTATTTTTGTCATGAACCTAAAAAAATTATTTTTATACAATATTAAAACCTTAAAGTTAAAACCAAAAAAGTTTCGGAGAAAACATAAGTAATAAAAATCTTTTGACATGCCGTCTACTAAAGTTTTAATTTTTTAAATCGTTTTATCTCGAAACAAAAAATTGTGGAGATAGAACAAAATAATTCTAACCTCGTGATATATATATATATATATATATATATATAATATCACGTAATATATATACTACATATAGTATATATATTACGTGATATATATATATCAACCTCGTGATATATATATATATATATATATCACGTAATATATATACTATATATATATATATATATATATATATATATATATATATATATATATATATATATATATAAATATATGTATATATATATATATATATATATATATATATATATATATATATATATATATATATATATATATGTATATATATATATATATATATATTTATGTATATATATATATATATATATATATATATATATATATATATATATAAATATAAATATATATATATATATATATGTTGATGAAAAAGTCCATTAGGACTCTATTGTAATGAAAACAGGTAGCATTTAAAGAGAGTTTTAATGCACAGTCTGTGTTAAAATCAAGTTTACTAACTCTGGTTTTTCAACTTTTATAAGTCTGATTTGCATAGCATAAAGATTAGTGTCATGATTGTGTTTGGAATGAATCACACATAAAAATTATCTATTTTTTTATAACTTTGAGGGATTTATAACTATTTTAATATTGCTTTTTTTATGAACTTTTAGCACTAATTTCAACAAAAACATGAAAGAAGTATAAAAATTACATTTCAATTGTTTATGTGAAATGCTAGACAAAATTACAGAGCTTAATCTATTCTCATTAAAACCTGATACAGAAGTGACCAGTTGTGATGTTTAAATACAATTGAGTTTGATCCTTAAAAAAAGAGCTTATATATGTTATCCTAAAAAATCTTTTATATGTATAAGTGGATGTTTAATCAAAATAAACACTGAGTTTGATATTTGTAATGAAGAAGAAACAAAACCTTACGTCATAGTTACTAAAAACGTTTCTTATGAAAATTCAAATGATAATTGTTTTTCTTGGGTAACATGTGGAATATGGAAAAATAGTAATAATCCAAATGTTATCTATAATAGAGATGAAGTTGCATTCTTTGTTGGTTATAAAACATTTCATAGGGATTTTTTTACTAAGGTTAAAGTTACCATTGTCGCAAGGAACAATGACGCAAGGAACAATGACGCAAGGAACAACACTAAAGATTTGTGATAAATTTTTATCAAAACTGCAAATATTTCAACAATTCTTCTTAGCAAGTTCGGCAAATAGAAAGTGGATTTTGGGCAAAATATAATGCTCTAGTGATTGTATACAAAAAAGACTTATGATTATAAAGAATTCTTGACACTTGTGATTATTTTTCTTGATACTGGTCCTGCCAGAGGTGCGCGATTCATGTTACCTGGAGCAATGCACCATGCCCGTATATATATATATATATATATATATATATATATATATATATATATATATATATATATATATATATATATATATATATATATATATATATATATATATACCCAGTGGGCACCCGACGTCAATCCGACGTCGGATTTACGTTTGATTTTCATCAGCGATGTCAAAAGACCTATTCCGACGTTGTTCCGATGTCAGTAAAATGACGTCGGGCGATGTCTTTATCTCAACATCCCCTGACGTCGTTTCGATGTATTTTGACGTTGTTCCGACATCTTATAAAAGACGTCCAAAAAACGTCGCAGTACTGACATCGATCCAACGTCGATAAAAAGACGTCGGGCAACGTCATAATATTAACGTACTCCGATGTCTTTTGACGTCTTCCGACGTCAATCCAACGTCCTTAAAACGACGTCGGAACAACGTCGTAAGACATCGCTGATGAAAATTTAATCCAAACCCAACAATATGTGTGCAATTGCGCTCTTCAATAATTATGTGAACTAAGCGTGTTTTTTTATTAATGGAAAAAAGTTTGAATAAAGGTTGATAAAACATCATGAGGTTTTGTATGATGCACTAGCATAGTTTTTTAACTATTAACATTTTCGAGTATACATTTTTTATAATATATAACTATTCGTTTTAATATTTATATAATATTTAAACAAAATTATTTCTTATCAAAGTAATAATTCCCAAATAGCTACAAGTATAAATTACTAAATAAACGCATCCAATAATACGTCCTTGTGGTGTAGGATTGCGCATAGGATTGAGTATCTAATAGACCGAGGTTCGATTCCTGCCACAGGCAGTGTTTTTTAGTTTTCAAAAAACACGTTGGATTTACATCGGAATGCCGACGTCGCGCGATGTCAGTTTATCCGACGTCAAATAACATTTCCATTTCCAACGTAAACCCAACGTCGATCCGACGTCGAGATCCGACGTCGCTCGACGTTCGTTCGACGTCGAAATGCCCACTGGGTATATATATATATATATATATATATATATATATATATATATATATATATATATATATATATATATATATATATATATATATATGTATATATATATATATGTATATATATATATATGTATATATATATATATATATATATATATATATATATATATATATATATATATATATATATATATATATATATATATATATATATATATATATATATATATATATATATATATATATATATATATATATATATATATATATATATATATATATATACTCTTGCATGGTAGTTGATAAGAGTTTCCCATAAACTGTAGTTTTAATGAGCGCGTTAATAAACCAGACCAGACAAGGTTTGAAAACTTAAATTTTTTTTTTTCAAATGATATACTGCCTGCCGAAACCAAACCCTCAGTCGATGTAGCAGCACTCCCTTGCGAGTCAGGCTATTTGTCAGTCGTTGTAGCAGCACTCCCTTGCGAGTTAGGCTATTTGTAAGTCGATGTAGCAGCACTCTGTTGCGAGTCAGGCTATTTGTCAGTCGATGTAGCATCACTCTGTTGCGAGTCAGGCTAGTTGTCAGTGAGTTATTAATTGTGTCATGTACCTAAAAATATTGCTTTTCTATAATATTAAAACCAAAGTTAAAATCAAAAAAGTTTCTCTTTTTTAAATCTTTTTATCTCAAAACAAAAAAATGTGTAGATAGAACAAAATAATTTTAACCTCGCGATATATATAAATATATATATATATATATATATATATATATATATATATATATATATATATATATATATATATATATATATATATATATATATATATATATACATATATACATATATATATATACATATGTATATATATATATATATATATATATATATATATATATATATATATATATATATATATATATATATATATATATATATATATACATGCGGTATGCGGTAGTGGTAGAGCGCTCGCTTCATAAACGAGTGGTTCGGAGTTCCATCCTCACCACGTCCCTGGTAGTACCGCGCTCAACTCGTTTCTCCGCGCATCGGCCTTGTTCATCAAGGTTCGTGTTTCGGTGTTATAGAGTTGAGAGAGGGTTATAGCCACAAATAAGTAGCCTCCTCGTCTGCAGTGGCCTTCTCGGCCTTGAGGAGGTGAATTTAAATTAAAAAAAAAAAAAAAATATATATATATATATATATATATATATATATATATATATATATATATATATATATATATATATATATATATATATATATGTTGATGAAAAAGTCCATTAGGACTCTATTGTAATGAAAACAGGTAGCATTTAAAGAGAGTTTTAATGCACAGTCTGTGTTAAAATCAAGTTTCACTAAATCTAGTTTTGCAACTTTTATAAGTCTGATTTGCATAGCATAAAGATTAGTGTCATGATTGTGTTTGGAATGATTCACACATAAAAATGATCTATTTTTTATAACTTTGTGGGATTTATAACTATTTTAATATTGCTTTTTTATGAACTTTTAGCACTATTTTCAACGAAAACATGGAAGAAATGGAAAAATTACTTTTCAATTGTTTATGTGAAATGCTAGACAAAATTACAGAGCTTAATCTACATTCATTAAAACCTGATACAGAAATGACCAGTTGGGATGTTTACAGACAATTGAGTTTGATCCTTAAAAAAAGAGCTTATATATGTTATCCTGAAAAATCTTTTATATGTATAAGTGGATGTTTAATCAAAATAGACACTGAGTTTGATATTTGTAATGAAGAAGAAACAAAACCTTACGTCATAGTTACTAAAAACGTCACTTATGAAAATTCAAATGATAACTATTTTTCTTGGGTAACATGTGTGATATGGAAAAATAGTAATAATCCAATTGTTATCTGTAATAGAGATGAAGTTGCATTCTTTGTTGGTTATAAAACATTTGATAGGGATTTTTTTACTAAGGTTAAAGTTACCATTGTCGCAAAGAACAATGATGCAAGGAACAATGACGCAAGGAACAACAGTAAAGATTTTGAGATAAATTTTCATCAAAATTGCAAATATTTCAACAATTGTAATCAGCAATTTCGGGATATAGATAGTGGATTTTGGGCAATATATAATGCTCTAATGATTGTATACAAAAAAGACTGCATCTTTCTAAATAAGTTCCAAATAGCATCAATTACACCTGCTTTAAATTTACGTACTATATTACATAAATTTATTACTTATTCTAATTTACAACATATATCTCAATACTTAAAATGTAATGATTGTAAAGCAATCATTCCAAAAAATGAAGCAATTGGATTCAAGGAGAGGATTTTTATATTAAGCGAAGATGATTTAAGATTAAACTTAGATGACTCAAAATTTTCTGAAGAATATGTTTACTTTCCTAGGTGTGAATATTATGCACGTTATCAAGGCACTACTTGTTTTAATATGAAAAACCCCAATTTTTGGGGAACATACTTTCGTTCGACTAGCAGAGGTGGGAATTCCGATAGATATTCAAAAACAGTTCCAACAAATCAAAAAACATATAACAACACAGCGATAAATTTTTCACAAAAAAGAAACGGTGGCAAAAGTACAGCTTCATATCATTCTAAAACTGGTGCATTTCGCTCTCCTTTTTTTGACGAAAAATATAAGAAAATTATACTTTGTCAAGATGATTGTAAAAAAATTACTGGAAATGTTTTTTTATATGATAAAATTTTAAAATATAAACAATATTTATGTCAAAGCTTTGTAACACAATACAATAGGAAACCTATAACAGGCATTGAAGCAATTTATTCTAATCAGTATCCTTGTATTTTGGTTCTTATTTCTTGTTTTAATAACAACAAGGATATAAGAAGTATTCAAAGCTGGTATAAGGTAGCAATGTCTTATTATGTGGCAATTACAAACTATAATGCAGATATTACAAATATACCTATTGAGCTAGTTGTACGCTCCAGTTTTGGACATGTTCTCCCAAGCGTAGACTCTATCAATAATGCTTTTAGAATTAACATAGGAATAGTTCCAATTCAATATATCTACGTTTTAGTTACAAGTTTAAGTCTTTTAGGAGAGGTTCTACAGGTACTTCAATGTCATGCTATTGATGAAAACGTGATAAAAAAACAAAACAAAAAAATTGAGGATTATAACAGTAGAACAAAAAACAAAAAGAATGACGAACTACCTTGCTGGGAAAAAAAGTTATTCGTGACATTAAATTTAATAGGAGACAGATCAAATAAAGGAGTAATTGCTCAAATTACACGAAAAAAGAGTTATACTGATTTATTAATAGACCTTGTCATAAAAGAATTATACAATAGGAAAAACTGTTATGCACTTCCTATAATAGAAATGCTAAAAAACATTATTTACGATCAAAAAATATATTTAGATAAAAAAATGCAGCAGGAATTTACAATGCTAAACAAACGATTTTATAATACTAAAATTATAAAAGACAGGATATTTTGGGAATTTTTGATGGATGTTGGAAAAGTGCTGGATTTTCAAAACAAACATCTGTTAAGGCATATTGAATCTCAAAATATATATGGTTTATACGCAAATCTGGAAGAGACCAATGTAAATTTTATTTGCAATAGTGGATACCAAAACTGTGAAGATGGATTTGGAAGCGATAGTGATTTTGATGGTGAAGATGAAGATTTAAACTTTTATATTAGAAAAATTACAGTTTCAACAGGAATGAGGGCAATCAACTTAGCTACATTTCTATCGCTATATTATATCACAAAAATACCAAATGTAACTACATACCGTTTAGCAGCACGGCATATGTATTATGAAACTGAAAATGCTGTTGATGAAGTTATAAATGTTTTTAGTGATTTTAGTGATTTATTTAAGGTTCCTACAAAAGAAAAATCTAAATCTGGCTCTACTCAAGAAAATTGTGCAAATATTTGTTTTTTCGATTTGAATTTTTGCAACTCTCTAAAACTTGAAGATAATATTGAAAGTCTCCTAGAAAGTTGTAGTAGGAATTATCCAATTATCATTGATTATACAAGCGCTACGACAGAAAAAATCCGTAGTAGTGTTTTAAAATGTCTTAAAAACACAAAGGTAGTGTTACTAGTTAACAGTGGGCTAAAAAATGAACAGTTTTCTGCAGACATTAATCCTTACGGCACATTAAGAATAATAGCCAAGGAAAGAAAACTTATGTTAGAGTTATATGCATTAGCCCGAGGAGCATTAGAAATGTCAAAAGAAATTTTACCCTCAGCTTCACATCAAATTAGAAAAGCATATAAAGATGCTGGATTTGTGGTAACTAACAAACATTTATTTAAAAAAAAAATAAAAAAAGCAAACGCTTCTGAGATGATAGAGACGGAAAAAATTGAAGAAAATATTTTTTATGTTTGGAAACTTTTTGATTATTTACCAGAAATAAAGGAATTAAAAAATAGTGGTTTTAACTTATACCAAATTATTGAATGCTACAATTGTAATAAATTAAAAAAAATGAAAGATCAAGTATCAGAGCTTAAAAAAGCTAACAAATTTGAAGAAATTGAAAAGATTAAGACGGCTTTGTATGACTCATACAAAAACAAATTGTTGAACTAACGGTGAGCTGGAAGTATACCAAAAGTCTACAAATACTAGCAAACAAACATTATAATTATAAAAACAACAAAGAAACAGTTTTTAAAATGATATATCTGATATAGTGTACAACATAACCAAATTCAAAAATATTAACAACAGACTCAAATATAAACTGAAGTCATTACTTAAGGTGGTACTTGGGTGAAAAAAAAGTAAAAATTGAAAATTTCAAAGTGAATGTTTTTAAGTAAACTGAGCTATGCAGAAAACGCCTAAGTAATTTGTTTCATGTAAAATAATTCAGATGATACTTAACTTTCCATTTTAAAAAAGACACTCTTAAACTCCAAACTCAACTTTCGTAGCAACGCCCATAGCAACCAATTTTGATTTCTTGAAAGCCTGTAAAATTATGTTTAAAAACCTATGGCTGGTTTGCTTTAAAGTCATTAAATTGTTTTACAGAAATATAAACTTCATGCAAAAAATCACCAATTAAATACATGTGTTACATGGCATTTAAATTGTTTAAAAGTTGAAAAGCTGCAAGTGAAATAATATCTGTTTATGTTTTTAATCATCGTTTATTTGATTTAGTTATATGGTTTTTTATCTTTTTTTTTAGCTTTGTTATAGTTAACTTAATTGGTTTTTTATTTGTTATTATTTTCTTTTTTTGTTCACGTTATTTAACTATAATGTTCATTATTAAAGAACAACAACAATGAAAAAAAAATTAGGCTTAGTTACACTTTTTTGTTATTATTGTTTTTTTATTCTTTATAGTTGTAATAATAATTAATATTAAAAAAAGATTCGAGCTATGCTAGAAAGAAAGTCTGGCCACTCAAAAGCATTTTCTAAACGGACATTTAAAGGTAACCAACACACACAAAAAAAAACACAAGAAGAACCAGTTGAGATTCCTCCTTCTAACTTACCTTATTCTTCAAATAAATCTGTCATATTTATCATCAGGTACAACATTACCTTTTATAATCACTAATGAAACCAGACCAATAAAGTTTGCATCATCTTCATTCACCAATGACACCAGTTTGTTGTGTAAATTTTTCAAACCCAACTGTATATTATCGATTTTTATACTTTTTTCTATTGACATTTTTATGGAAATTATTAATTTAGTTGTAACATGCCCTAAATGTGACAAAACGTTAAATGTTCGACTATGAGTCGAACATTTAACGTTTTGAGAAAGCAAGGCTTGTCTATACCATTATTGTTACAATGTTCAAGTTGTTGTTAATGTACAACCTTTCATTCAAGTAAAGAATGTAAATGCAAAAGCAGTCGTGGTAAACCCGTTTGAGGTTTATGTTCGTTTTGTTTTTGCTATGAGGAAAATTGGAAAAAGTTATACCAGTTTAGAAAAACTCTGTGGATAAAAAAAGTAATTAGAACAGTGCTTTTCCATTGCTCTTAAGCAAAATATATTATTAGAATATAGAAGGCATCAAATGTGCCCACGTACTCCTGATAGTTGGTGTAAATATCAGGCTGACAAAATAAATGGCATAGCAACTTACAAACATAAGGGAGGAATAACCAATTGTTGTCCTTGAAGAAATAAAGCCTGTTTTTTTTTAAGTTTAAGTGATGACAATTTATAAAAAAAAAAAACTTTATGGCAAAACTCAAAATAACTAATAAATAAATGAGTCACTAAATGGAATGATTTGGAAACGGTTTCAAAAAGATATCTATGTTTGTAAAACCACTGTTGACCTAGGTGTAGCTTCTGCAGTTATAAGTTTTAATGATAGTTCAACTGGAACTCTAAAAGTTTTAAAGGGCATAGGTATTCCAGGGTTTTATGCAAACAGTTCTGTGTTTCAAATAACAACCAACGAGTAATGGAAAGGAAATCAAAAAAAGCATAATCAAAGAGTTCATATAAAGATTTCACAAATACTAATCAATGTAGAAGAAATGAAGTATGGTTATGGTTTATATTAGAGAGATTATTTTTTATTTACGGTCATCATATTTGAAAGGAATTTAGTGATATTTTAGTATATTATTACTTAAATTGCATTTATCTCAAAATTGAATTTTTTGAACGGTGCGTCATATAACTTTTGATTTATTTGAGCTTTATTCTTGAAATTTTATATGGTGGTTATTTTTTATAAGATACAGGTTTAGAACCAACATTTTTTGAAAAAATATTTTTCGGTCTAGAGTTACCCAAGCCCAAAGTTTTATTTTTAAGCTTTTTTATAAGCAAGGTATTTGAATTTTAGTTACCTTAGATCTAGTTATGAAATCAGGCTAATTCTGCTCCCATACCTGTAAAATTGTACTATAAACAAACCATAAAAATTTTGTTATCATTCTACAGGTGGTTTTTTCTGAATTTGACGCACCGCTAAGTGACCATTTTGAGACCTTTGGACCCAAAAAAGGGCTTTCTGTAATTTTTTTTCTTTTTTTTTTTAAAAAAAGGCATAGTTACCTGTATATAATTGTTGTACCAAAATATAAAATTCAAATAGTAAGAATTAAAGAATTTGGATTTTTCACCCAAGTACCACCTTAAGTTGTATTGTATGAAGAAAAATCTAATATTTTAGCAATATTTAAAATGTCTCAAAATTGTGTTTATTAAAACGAGGAATCATGTATGGATTAGATTTTTGGGTTAAAGATTAGGGTTAGGGTTAGGTTTAGTATGTTTGATAATCAGAACATAGTTCTTTTGTATAAATCTTGAAAACTGGGCTGGTAGTCAAGAGAGAAACAATTATAAAAGGTTTCTCAATAAAGTTTAAGTGTTACAATAGTGTTTACGCAAAGTTGGACAAACGGCTAAACTATAAGATTTAGCAGGGATTGATAGCCGGGGTTAAATAAAAATTTATATTACTTTTTATATTATAACTTTATGCTTACATTGTTATATATTAAATACTGGCGTATATTTATACATTTTCAAAATTTAATTTACTTCCAACAAGATTGCAGGCAACCACTATTACGTTATAAGTTACTTTAAAATAGAGAATAAGTAAAAACACTAGGAAATGGTTAACTGAAGACTTGAAAAGTTGTAGGTTGTATATAAAAGAAAAACATGAAGATGGACGATAGTTTTAAGGTTTTATCGATGTGCAGGTAAAAAAACTGGATTATTAGAAGTTTTTATAGCATGAAGGTAGAGATCCATTAAAAGGATGCAACTGGTTGAGTCAGAATTTATAAAGTGAAAACATTAAACTAAAACAAAGCTTTTATTGAGTTTTTTCGTGACTTCTGCCGTGCACCTAAACAAGACAAAAATAATAAACGAGAGAAAAGTAATATCAAATTTATTTTGCAAGTATCTAGCCATGAATTGAAGAACTATTTTCTTAGGTAACACAGCACTAAAATTATTATCTAAAATTAATAAATTTTCAAATTTTTTTTTGAATTGGTATCACACCTCCATAGAGTTTAATTGAACTGTTAATTTTCTATGAAAACCTTATTCAAATTTATTTACAATTGTAGGTACCTTGATTAAAACTTCTATTAAAATTATTTTATAAATAGGTCACTGTTAAAAGAGACTTTAAAATGAATCTATTTTTAGGAAAAAAAGTAAAAAAATATTGTTAAAATAAAATACTAAAAAAAAATATTCTTAAAATAAATTTATTTACAATTGTAGGTAACTTGATTACTTAGGGGGGAAAAACTTAAATTTTAAAGTTATCATTATCTATGAAAAGTTTAATGTTATTATTATCTATGAAAATTTAAAGTTATAATTATATATGAAAAATTTAAAGTTGTTGTTATGTGACAAAAACCTTATCTATGAAAACATTTTTAAAGTTATTATTATCTATGAGAATTAAAATGTATCATTATCTATAAAAATTTAAAGTTATTATTATTTATAAAAGGTTAAAGTTATTATTATCTATGCTAATTCAAAGTTATTATTGTCTATGAAAAGTTATATTGGTACTATCGTTTTAGCTACGGCGTGAGTTAGTGATGGCTTCGCAACTATAAAAACACACACTGATCGAATTTCAGCGAAGAAAACAAGATAAATGATCTTTCACCTGTCCCAATCAATGTCGGGTGAGCCTCAGGAAGTTGATGCACTTGCAGCCAGATTTTAACTAAAATTTACATACGGATAAAAAGCATAACAAAATCAGCTATAACCATCTTTAAGGGTTTATCCTTTAAGAAGGATAAGCCACAGCGATAGTGTAGATGCAGCTGTATCGATTTATGGTGTTAGCAGATGGCGGATTTCAACTTTTAAAACAACACTGATCCAATCTCAACCAAACAAACTAGTTAAATGATCTTTAACCCGCCTCAATCAGTGCTAATTCAAAATAAACCCCCTCAGCTAGTTGATCTACTTGCAGCAAGACCAAAACCAACACACGTCAAAACAGAAGTTAAAACCACCTTAAGATGAATCACCATACCCTACAGGCATTTGTTTTTAAACGTCTTTTTCACGTTCAGGGTTAGAGTTAGGGTTAGGGTTAAGGTTAGGGTCAGGGTTTAGGGGTTCGGGTTAGGGTTAGGGTTAGGGTTAGGGTTAGGGTTTGTGTTTATCCGAGATAATCAGACAAAGTCTGTTTACTCGATATGCAAGCTGGACCTGTCAGCCTAAGGGAAGAAAAAAGGAAACAATTACTACGATATAAGTAATAGATTTATGCAAAGTTTAGACAGGTGTCTAGAGAGAAGTTCAAAGATTAAGGATTTCGGGGACAAGAAAGAATTATAGGTTTTTTTTATTTTTTTAATATAAGTTATTATTTATTTCTTTATTAATTTTAAACTTATTGAGTGATTATAGTTTATTTAGATTTTAATTATTTAAAGTTATATTTTATTGTTTAAAGTTATATATTTTAACTATTTTAAATTTTCTGAAAGTTATTCTTTGAAAGAAGTTTAACAAAGATTTAGATTTTTTATTAGTGGATTGATATGGTTGATGTGAATTAATGAGGTGATCTAGGTATCTCTTAAGGGTATGCGTTGGTAGTGGCTTCCTAACTATTAAAACACACACTGATCCAATTCCAGCGAAGCAAACAAGCTAAATGATCTTTAACCCGTACTGAAAAACGGTGTCGGGTAAGCCGTTGCAAGTTGAAATTCTCACGGCAAGATCTTGAATGACACTTCACATAAGGAGCAGAGCATTAGAAAAGCAGCTAAAACCACCCCAATACGAATAACCAAGCGATAGCATAGATGTAGGAGTATCGATTCATGGTATTAGTAGAGAGTGGACTTCCTAACTATTCAAACGGTACTGATCCAATTCTAGCGAAGCAAACAAGCTAAATGATCTTTACCTAGCTTCAATCATTGCTGGGTCAGCAGTTGCCCCCTTAGTCAGTTGATTTACTTGCGGCTAGATCTTAACCGACACTTCACATTAGGAGCAGAGCGTTGGAACAGCAGCAGAGTACCACCTCAAGATAAATCACCATAGCGATAGACCAGATATTGGGTGTTGATTACGGAGGTAGAAAGATATAAGGGTTTCTTATTTTATTTAATGGGTTTTACGCACATATATTGTTATATCCTTTAATAGTTTAAAGTTATTGAGTGCTCATGGTTTATTTTGGTTTTAATTGCT